AAAATTTCTCAGCCTAAAAGAGATTAAGCCAACCTGAGGTCACTGATCTTATGATGTAAAGGCAAATAAATAATACACAAGACAGATCATTATCTTTATATAGAATTAACAAAATGAGTATTCCCCATAGCACTGTCTGTTGGCCTAAGGGGACAAAAAGGTCATAAGCAGACCAACGGCAAAAATCACATCTAAGAGGATGCTGATCTCTGTGACATGTTCAACTCTAGGCCATAGGAGATATATAGATGGTATATAGGTGGGAATAGAAATACTATCTAATAGAGAACTTTATTCAATCTCACAAATCAATAACTGGGGAAATACGGTATTAAGTCACAAACTTCAAAAGACACAGTCCCGAAACATGTTCTCCATACACTGACATAGTCTGTTGAGAAGAGTCTCCAAGAGTCTGGCCATGGGACCATTGTCCCGGGCATGGCCCTGGTGACTGCCATGCTTGTGAAGGTGACAAATGCCACCGAGCATGAGTGGATTGTCCAGCACTAACACAAACAGAAATAAATATAAACACAGCCAGTTGGAAAATGGGCAGGAGAACATCTGAAAGCAGTTTAGTAAGGGAATATACACAATTTCTCCCCCTTGGCAAGAAAAAACAAAGGACCAAAGAGAACCACAAAGAGGATTACAGATGATTTCCAAAGAATCATTCAAGCAATGGAAATTACTGCTCAGGAAACTTAAAAAAAAAAAAAAACAAAAACAAAAAAACAGACTGCATGAGGATTTATTAATTAATCTCCTTCTAGTTTATAAATGGGCTCACTAAGAGGAGAAAACCAACCATCTGGTCTCCATGTTTGGTGAAACTGAAAATAGGCATAGCACAACACGAAGAATTATGAGGCTCATAAGCCTGAAAAAATTGCCATCATGACTTTGAACAGTATATATGCCATGAAATTCACCAGAATGAGAATCACAGGACCTTCATTCTAGTGTTTTGTGCAATAAATTAAATCAGTGTGACTTTAAGCAAGTCACATAATATCTCCAGTGTCAGTTTCCTTATTTGTAAAATGAGCATATTGGGTTAATACAAAAACCAAAGAAAAATATTATTACAAGCGTGGGCTTGGGATTCAAATTTTGACTCAATTAGGGTCAACTGTTGTGGGGTTTTTTTGCTGTTGTTACTATTACGTGTAAGTAACAGAAGTCCATTCTGGCCGATTATGCAGAAAGGGAGTTTATTAAAAGAATGTTTTTTGTGGAAACTTTGATTTGGAAAACTAGATTGAAGAGTAAGCTTTCAGGGAGGTTTTCAAGGTTTTTAGGAAGGTTTTAGGAAACCACATTGCAAATCTGGAATGATAAGAAAATGTATCATGAGGTGTTCAACACTGAAGTCTGCACCATTATGATTTCTGCACCAGAACTCAATTTTACTTTATTATAACCATGACTATCCCAGCAGCAAAAGAAGCTGGAATAGCAAGTATTTGGCCTTTTTTAACCCCTGTAGGAAAATGCAATTTGGCTCAGATTCCCTGGATGTATAAAAAGGTCAGATGCCAGATGGCCAAAATGAACTCAATCCTTTTGACCTCAAGCTAAGATTTATTGCTTACAATCACTTATGAAAGTTTGGGTGGTTTTATTCATCATCAAGAAGATGGTATACATCATTTCTTAAAGACTCTATGGTTCCATAATGAAAGGGCTAAAATATCTGTGACAGAGAAACTTCCAAATACTCTTGATATATAAACTGAGTTACTAGGTGGGCTCAGTATCCAGTATGTGAATTACACCCACTGGATTTATAGTTAGAATTAGGTCTTCAATTTTTAATTTACATAGTTGAAGTTTTCTATCTATTTATGTGCTACGAGAGACAGTAAATGGTTTCCAAGTCTTCGATTAGAAAAATAGAAGTTCCCAGAATTTAATGAACATTCTCTCATGAAAAACAAAAACCTATATTCTTTCTCTCTGAACTATTAATACATTTGTACTACTGGGGGAATGCATCCCACGAGAAGGACATCAGCCAGGAGGGGAAAGAGCCATTATAACTGGGCTTTATCTATTTTAAACTCCTCAACTATAACAACAGTGCCAAAAATACCAGCAATCCAGCTCCCAACTGTCCTTTCTGAGTAATGGACAGCTATTCTAATCCCATGACTACCGCCCAGCGCTGTCTTAAATTGGCGTGTTCGGCCACCGCTGGTGCATTCCAAGCCCAGTGGGTGGTTCGTAGAGCAGATCTCCCCCATGCATGAATTTCGTGGTGTCTCTGAACCATCCAGACTCTGTGATCCCAAAAAAATACCCTTGGGGAATTTTTGTCAAGTGTTTATAGAAACCGTAGAAAGATGATTAATAAGCTTTACTGCCCAATTATTTTGGCTCATAAGCAGATGAATCCTCCTATTCACGTGATGAGCACAAAATAGTTCGGTGATATTTTTAGCAATTATAGCAAGAAAGAAAAATTTAAAAGGTCAATCTGTCAGTTGCCTATTTTCAAACTATCAGACAAAGCCTGTCAAATCAGAAATTCTGGAATAGCTACTTTAGTATTATGGGATGAAAGTTCGGTTTCTTCAACCTAAAGAATAAAACTACTACCAAGTTTATACTACGTTTATTCCAATAATCCATTGAATAGACCTCTAGACATTTAATATAGATCAAAATGGTCTCAGAAGGATCATCATCAACCAAATGGTGAGCGTCAGACCAAGCAGGTGGATTTTAGTTTGGCAATTGAAATATGTCTCCTTATAAGCAATAGACATCAGATATGTCCTTCCAAAATTTGTGTAATAAAATAATTGGAAAGGATTTTAAATGCAGCAGAGTGTTTGCAATTTAAGGGCATGATAATTTTTTTCACAAGTGAGTATGTAAAGGAATGGATCTGTTATAAATGATTATAGACTTCCATATAACAAGGCAAAATGTGGGGATTAAGCAGATGGTCTCTGAAACCAGATGGCCTGGGTTCAAATCCTGACTTTGCCTCTTCCCAACCATGTGACCTCAGCAAATTACATAATCTCTCTGGGCTTCAGGGTTTTCTGTAAAAGGAGACAGCAGTAGTCCTTAACCTCGGACACTGTTGAAGCCTTATGACAGTGTCTGGCACATGGCAAGTGTCATATAGGTTTTTGTTAGAAGATAAGTAGCCAGAACTTTTAATATATCTCTGAAAATATCAACTTCATATTTTTATGAAAATTCTTGATTGAGATAGAGCTCATTGAATTCTTAAGGCATTTTTTTCCCTAGAAATATAAAACATTTCATTTCTCAGTGCTACAAAAGTTCTGCTGCTAGGTGATTATGCGAGAATATAGGGGAAGAAAAAATGCAAGAACTCTTGAGGCAAATATTTAAATATTCAGTAAAATAAATAAACACCTGGTTGTTGGGGGCAAAAAATAATCAAGGCAAGGTAGAACACGCATCTGATACCTTTTTTTTTAATTTAAAGCAATATTATAGAAACTAGGAATAAAAAAGTGATCACAACTGGAGACAAAATTTACACTGTGATCCAAAAACCTTTGAGCTAATACTTACAAAAGAATTGAGAAAGTCCCAAGTTGGTTTATATAAAGATTTAACAGTGAAACTGGAAGTTGTTCTATGTTTGATTTTAAACAAACTATCATATAAAACAATGTCTTTAAACAACTAACATATGACTTTTAAGAACACACATAGAAAAATATTTGGAAAAACAAACAAATTTAACAGGAACTACTTCGATATATGGGCAGAATGATGCACTGGCAGATGTTTCTCTTAATCTTATACATTACTACGTTTTTCACCTTCTGCATTACAGTTTTTTCCAACAACATGTATCATTTTGTAGTATAAAACTTCTTAAAGTATTACTTGTAGAAGTTAGCAATGAATGCTGATATTTGGTCCCTTATATTCACTTTTCTTCAAAAACCGCAGTAAAGTCTAATGACCAAGAGCTCTGACTACACCTAAGTGGGAAGTAAGTGTACCCTTCCCCAGAAAATATGCTATTGCAGATCAGCAGCAATGGATCAGACCCCTACTCGACTCGGGGCCCCTCAAGTTGCTTTCAGGTCTTTAACCTCTAGAAAAAATAAAGATAGCACCGGTGTCTTTAATATCTAATATCTAATAAAGAGAAGAACCAGAACTACTCCTCCCCATAAAATGCCAAGGGTTTTTACCAAGCGCTGGTTGGTTTTACCAAGGGTTGATATTCTATTTGCACTGAGAACAGTATTGCTCCCCACAAGGAGATCAAATATCAGTAAACCCCTCTCACCATCTTGTCGGCTTTGAAGACAGATTTAAGTCCCCCACTAGCTACCCCAATATTAGCCAGTCCACTTCTTCAAATGTTAATCTTCATAATGTTTCTATTTAGGGGCTTACGTGGCCTTGCTGGGCACATGAGGCAGCCCAAATCCAAGGAGGCAAGAAAAGAATTGGTAACTGTTGACTATATTATCACATGCCTAGAACAGTGCCATGCGTATTTGATGTATTATCTCCTTTAATCAAAAAGCCGATATTATCCCCACTTCATATGTGATAATACTGAGGCTCTAAGAAGCTAAGTCATTTGCCCCAAGCCCCATAGCTATCGAGTCATGGAGCCGGGCGAGCCCCACTCCGACCCCTTGCTGCCACACCATAGAGACTCCATGTTACAGCAGAGCCCTGGATTCAAAGTACAGTCAGATCCTGTGATGATCAGGCATTGGTGAGTTTGAATGACAATAATCATGATTAATTTGTCCAGCATGTCACATGTTTTCACAACACTTATCACAAGCCAGTTGCTGAAGCACAAAGCATGGTATTCAAATCCACATAAAGGAGACCTCGACTTTATCCTCTGACCAGGTCACTATTACTTGTCAATGATAAATAGGTTCCTTTTATGATTTTGAAAATAACTGAGGAACTCAAACTAAAGGTTTTATTGTTTTCTTCTCTGCCTCATACAATCCACCCGGGATTTGCAGGAAAATGGACAAAGAAAATACGGCGGCCCTCCACCGGGCTGGGATGCTGCACCCCCAGAAAGAGGCTGTGAAATTTTTATTGGAAAACTTCCCCGAGACCTTTTTGAGGATGAACTTATACCATTATGTGAAAAAGTGAGTCCAAATTTAATATCTTTTCTTAGCTTTCAGGGTTAAAAATACTACACACTTTGTTTAGTGCTCATTCTTCTTGGTCAGTGATGGCTTCTCTTCCAATTGCCATTCTTCAACATGGACAAACTCAAAACCTTCCTGTTAGTGGCTGTCCCCTTATTGTCACGGCCTTGATGTAGCTCTTCCTATTCCTGATGGCTTGAACTACCGCTGCTGGTAATTTTCAAGTTCTGATCCTCGATCTGCCCAGGTGCCCTGAGTTTGCAGCAAGATAGCCATCAGTCTATACTACTACTACAACGACCTCTCCAAAGTAAGATATTGCTCCAACTTGACATTTTAATATGGTTTTCTAAAGTGTACCACTTCACATTCAAAGAGTATGTGTAGGTTTGTCATGGCTCAAATGTATACCTATACATATTGATTCAGAATGAAATTTCCTTATACAGGTTTGATCTGCTTGCCCTAATGCATCAACAAGATTAAGAATGGGGTTTCTCAAAGTCATTATATAATTAAGGAACACATTTCCTCAGTTTTAATTCCAAATCTTATATTGTTACTAAACCCAAAGTTACAGGGAGAACAGAAAATTAAAATTTTCAATATTTTACCAAGTGGTGCTTCAATAACCACATTCCTGGAAAATTTAGAAAAGCTAGAGTCTTGCTATTTCTTTCCCTAAATGCCAAAATCAATTGTGTGTATGTGTATAGCTCAGCCTCTGATTCAGAACTGCTCCTAATTTTATACAAACAATTTCACTTGGCATGTGCACAAATTATGAGGATTTAATTCTGTAAGAATTTTATATACTGAACTTGAAAATGAGCCCCAGGAAACACCTGAAACAGAGGAAACATGCTTGAACTCTTTCCTAATGAGCCCTGGATAGATAGGTGTCCACCACTGAATACCATAGGGTGGGGTGAGGTGGGGTGAGGTGGGGGGGGGGGTGGGGTGGGGGAGGCTGAGCCAAGGGGTAATCAACCACCAAGAAGCACACATTTAATGACACCTCTTCTCCCTGCACATGCCTGTCCTATCTATTAGGGCCACTGGTCATACAGCAGCCAGCAAGAATAAATTACTGAGTCTGGGTTGCTGGAAACATTTGGGATAGCAGGAAGGAACAGTATATAGGCAAAGCAAAAGAGCTATAGTCAGAGGGATAGAGTGCCCTCCTACTGTGGAGCTCCCAACCTTGGGCCGATTGTGTAAAACAAACATCTACCTTCAGCCTACAGATCAAAACAACAACAGGAATCCCCAGATCATCCTCTGAAACACATCTTCCCTGGGTATCTTGAGGTCATGGTGGGAGAAAGATAAGAAATCAGTTAGAAAGTTTCCAAGTGGAGAGTGTCCCGGGTCAGTGGTAGAGAATGACCAAGCAAAGATAAAACTATGGAAACTTGAGAGGCCAAGGTAGAGGGCAAGGACAAATCTATCGTGAAATTGTATTTCTGATGACAAATGCATTCTCAGGTCCCAAGGACAATGGATAAATCCACAGATAATTGTGTGATGAAAGGCCATTTGCTCTGTCGAAAACATATTCTGTTAAGTCAAGCTGAAATGCACTTGTATACGTTTTCTTTATTTAACTTGACTTTGGCCGTGAGTCAGATAACAGATCTGAACCCAGCATGAAAATATGCAAACCATTCCACATGGGATGCAAATGCCAAATATGGCAGAGATAAGACTTCAGAAAATAGTGTGTGTTTTCATTTGGAAGTACAAATGTACAAACGTGAATTCTCTCTTTTACTTGTAGATTGGTAAAATTTATGAAATGAGAATGATGATGGATTTTAATGGCAACAATAGAGGGTATGCATTTGTAACTTTCTCAAATAAACAGGAAGCCAAGGATGCAATCAAGCAACTTAACAACTATGAAATTAGGTAAGATCCACTTCTTCTGATTAAAAGTGAAGCAGACGAGCAAAATAAGTCAATCAGAGAAAGACATGTATCATATGACCTCACTGATATGAGGAATTCTTAATCGAAGGAAATAAACTGAGGGTTGCTGGAGTGGGGGGTGGGGTGGGAGGGATGGGGTGGCTGGGTGATAGACACTGGGGAGGGTATGTGCTATGGTGAGTGCTGTGAATTGTGCAAGACTGTTGAATCACAGATCTGTACCTCTGAAACAAATAATGCAATATATGTTAAGAAAAAAAAAAGAAAAAGAAGAAGATAGCAGGAGGGGAAGAATGAAGGGGGGGAAATCGGAGGGGGAGACGAACCATGAGAGACGATGGACTCTGAAAAACAAACTGAGGGTTCTAGAGGGGAGGGGGGTGGGAGGATGGGTTAGCCTGGTGATGGGTATTAAAGAGGGCACATTCTGCATGGAGTACTGGGTGTTATGCACAAACAATGAATCAGGGAACACTACATCAAAAACTAATGATGTAATGTATGGTGATTAACATAACAATAAAAAATAACAGATAGAAAAAAAATTTTTCATCCAAAAAAAAAAAAGTGAAGCAGACAATGCACCCTGTATCTGTTCTTCCATCAAACTTATCTAATATAGTATATGCAAAAGACAGGCAAATCAGAAATAAAAAAGGTTTCTTTTCTTTGGTGAAAATCAATTTGATAAAATATGTATTTAATGTCAACACTACATAAGGTGTCAAACTAAGTTTTGTGAAATGCTCAAAGAAACAAAAATCATTAATTCATCTGTTTCATGAATATGTTGATGGGCACTGTTCAAAATATTGGAAATATCAAGATGCCTTTTCCCATCCTCATAGTAAACAAATGGGTACAGAAGATTTTTAAGAGTATGAAAATCCATATGAGGAATCTAAAAAAGCAAATAAAACAAACAAAAAGCAGAACCAGACCTATAAATACAGGGAACAACCTGATGGTTGCCAGAGGGAAGTGTGTGGGGGGATGGGCTATAAATGGGTGAAGGGGAGTGGGAGAAACAGGCTTTCAGTTATGGAATGAGTCAGTAATGGGGATGAAAGGCACAGCACAGGGAATGTAGTCAATGGTATTGTAATAGTGTCGTACGATGGTGAGTAGAGCGTAATATACAGAGAAGTCAAATCACTGTGAAAGTAATGTCACATTGTGTGTCAACCACACTCAAAAAAAATTTAGGTATGAAAAAAATCAAACCACCTCTAAGGAGGGGGCTACTCTAACTTGGTGTATTTAAGAAAATACTCTCCAGGAAAGTACAATTTTACCTGAGACTTGAAAGAGTCAGCCATGACAGCCCCCATATCTGGGGGAAGATTATTCCAGAGAATAAGAACAGCACGTGCAAAGTTCCCCAAATGAGAACAAGCTCGAGGTGTTAGAGAACAAAGCCAATGAAGTAGAAACAGAGAGGAGACCTGAAGGCAATGTACTCTGAGAGACTTACACTCCATGATTCAAAATTTGCCTTTTATTCTAATAAAAGGGAGAAGACATTTCATTAGATTCATGCTTTTAAAAACATAACTCTGGCTGTTGGGTGAAGAATGGACTGTAGCAGGGAAAGAGGGAAGCCAGAGGGAAAGCTACAGCTGAGAGTAGTCTAGGTCTAGACAAGGGATGCTGGCAGGTGCGCAGGGCCTGGTGGTACAGGTGGCCAGAGGGGTCGGACCTGGGGTACGTTCTGGGGGCTGAACAGACAAAACTGGCTAAATAATGGATTTAGAGTGAGAGCGATATTAGAATTTAGGGAGGAAAGCTAGGATGTTGGTCCCAGTATCTGTGGATGAGATAGGGTCATTGAGATGGGAAGACCTGGAGAATAGCCGGAAACTTGAAGAGCTTAGTTTGGGGAATTTACATGTGAGAGTCACATTAGACAGCCCCAGGGGAGCTGTTGAAGTGGTGATTGTATGATATTGGAGCTAGGAGAGAGGCCTCAGAGCCAGCCAAACTTAGGTAATACTGCAAATCATGGGACTGGTGGAGGATTCCAGGGCATAATTGACCTGGTGCAATCAATAGCTGGTTTTTAATCAACTAGAAACATCGTGAGCTAACATCGTGAAATTGCCTGAGTTCTAAAACCTTCACCTAGAGACGGAACTGTCCTAAATCATCTCTTAAAGGAAGCCGTGGGGCACCTGGAAGAAAGATCAGTGACGCAGTTGAAAAGCAACAGGTTTGGGGTCAGACAGGCTTCACCTGAGTGCCAGCAAGTGGCTTCACCTCTCCAAGCCTCAATGTGCTCATCCCTAAAGTGGGGATCCTACAGACTTTTAAATGCTTATCCCAGTGTTTGGAACATGGTAATAGGTCAATAAATGATAGAACTCTTACATATTAGCACATTCAGCAATTCTAAGATATAATTTTCATATAGGTCCTTTCTGCATCTTAAAATTAATGTCATCTTAATGTGAATACAGAGAGATTTCCTACCATTTACTGTCTCTCACTTCCTACAGGCCCCAAATAAGTCCTGCATTATCCTGAGAATTCTGTAAGTCAATCAATTACTAGGTCATTTTTCTTAAACCGCTTAGCCGCAAAAAGATGGACTCGATTGGCAACCGTAGTAGCCTAGCCACTCAGTCCCAAGGTCGGATCCAGGAACAGAGTTTTGGAGGAGAGTATAAAGGAAGTTCCCCTCCCACACAGGCCTCCACAAATCGAAAAGAACTCTGTCTGGTATGTGGAGGGTTGTCTGGTGTGGGAAGCAGGCGACCAGAGAACAGGTTTCTTCAGACAAATCCTGGGACCATCAGCACCTAATTACTCACACCTTCTCAGCATCTGTCATAGGAGATGATGTACACTGAACTGTTTTTGGAAAGGGCTCCAGAAAGCTCTATTTTAATATAGCTTTTTAATAGGACAGGTACAAGATTTCAGGGATCAGTAGAGTCCCCATTCCTTGGTCCTTCATGGAGCCTAGACATCTGGAAAGTGAGGGTTATTCTCAAAATGGCTTTTAGTTTGAGATGGTTGGAGACTTGGCCACACAGGAATCAGCACGGTTTGCTGTATGTACTCAACACTTTGTTACACACTGGGTCCTGTCCACGTTTTCTGAGAACAAATAGGGTGTGAAAAACGAGCACAATCAATCCATTCTAGTCACTCATATGTAACACTGATACATCTCTGTGAATTTCAGTGTCTTCATCTATAAAAGAGAGAAAGATACTTACCTCATGGGGGTATTATGAAAAATAAATAGATAATGCAGGCAAAGCTCACGTGGTCTGTGAGTGTTTGCGGAGGATTACGGTGGAGGAGGGGGAGGAGGGTGGGGAGGAGGAGCAGGAAGAGGGGAAGGAGAAATATTACAAAGCATTTGGAAAGAGCAGGCTGGTGGCCACATTCCAGTCAAAGTTCAGGTTGGATGCCAGAAACAAAGGGGAGGCACAGAGGTACTTTTAATCAAGGTGTAGGATAAATAGAATATGAAATAGTAGCAGAATAGATATCCCAGAGCCAACGTCCCCTACTTCCACTCCATCCTAGATCAGTCCTGCCAGAACAGAGAACCTTGCCTACAGAGAACCTTGCCTGCAGAGAACAGGATAATCTTTGATTTGCTTTTAGCCACTATTTCTCGGGGAATAGATAAGGTTCTTATCCGGAAAAGACCCATCATTGTCCTACCATCTTCCTCATCATCAAATATTTACTGAGATTTGTCTAAATGCCTGGCTTCTGGAGACATTAAAGCCATGCCCTCAGCGTGTGAGAGATGGCTTTTCATCTCCAAGCAGTTCTGGGAAAGTGCCTGACTTAACCACACAGATTTAAAAATAGGACACGGAGGCTCCAGGCTCCACCTGCTGGTAACCGATACCTGACTGGCCCTCCTTCAAAAATAATAGAATTTCTAAAGAAATATTTTGGAATAGAGGGGTTTTTTAAGAAAACAACAACAACAACAACAAAGACAAAACCCCTGAAAGATGACTTTATCCACCCTTCCCTACCCGCAAGGAAAAGCACATTCCTTGGGCGACGTTCACCAGACTGTAACGGACCTGTCGCAACTCTGCTAGGAGGTCCTCAGTTCTTCCGCAAAGCACGGAGGACAGGTAGGACAGGGGCCGATCCTGGTGAGCATACCTGCCACCCCACTGAGCACCGCCACTTCCAAGAAACCAGAGCAACCTCCCACTCACTGGGCTGAGCGCCTCTCTTCACGACATGCAGGGAGTTTCCGTGAAAGGAACTTTACCCATTTTAAGAACTTTAATAACTTTGTGTTATTATGAAAGTCACACAACAAATGGCAAAAAAAAAAGGGGGGGGGCAATTAAAATTCAAACCATTCCTCCACAATCCCATTGCCCCAAGATAATCACTATGTCAGCTTTTTACTTTTTAGTATCTTCCTAGATTTTCGGTATGGTGCTCATCAAAATGGTCTTCTCATATACTTATCTTGAAGTCTTTGTTTTTTAAGCCAGTAGCATAGGGTGAGCTGGTTTTTTAACCAATAAATATTCTTCTGCATTACCACGTTGAAATGACTATCGAGCTTTCTATGGTATAAATGCCCAGCTTTTGAGTATCAGTGGTTCTCAGCCAGAAGCAGTAGCGTGCACCCCAGGGGACATTTAGAAAGATGAAGAGGCATTTTTAGATGACCTGACAGGTGACTATTAGCATTTAGTGCACAAGAACCCGGGGTCACCAAGATACTGCTGTGCACAAGGAAGAAAGATCCAGCCCTAGAGTCATTATGCATCTCAGCCAAGATGCATAAAACTGGTCCTGGATGGTGGGATATTTTGGTTATATCCAATCTGGGGACTACTTAAATAACAGCAGTGAATATCCTGATACGAAAATGTTGGTTCATCTCTTTCTTAAAGACACTTTCCCAGAAGGGGCACTATTTGCCCCCAAAATTATATACGAAAGATTTTTGATACATTTTCCCAAGTGTCCCCCAGAAAAGCTTGACCTGCACTCTGCAGTGAAGTGAAAGTAGACATGAACTTGCTCATGAGCAACACTGCGCAGCAGAATCAGGAAGGAACGGAGAGTCTGGAGGCCAATTGCATCCCTTAAAATCTACAAAAGCTTAAGCAAGTCATTCAATTTCTCGGGGTCTCAAGGTCTTCATCTATAAAATGGAAACAGCACCTGCTCTGCCCATCTTCCTTGTGTAGGCCAAGTAAGAGAACACGTGAAAGCCTGTTCAGCATTAGGGACAATTTCTAAGGGCCGTCATGTTAAGTCGCTTCCCTATTTGGCTGGGAAGGAAAGGGAGCTCACAACTGTCTGGGGCCAGATAGCCTACGTGAGTAACGGGGGCAAGGTGCACAGGCCTCGGGGTCAGGGATTATCCTGGGCAGTGAGGAAACAACAGGAAAAGACCAAACATCCCACATCCGCAGACCGTATCAGGTCCAGGGTCAAACATTTTACAACTTCCATCTTAAGCCTCAATCACACAAGGATTCTTGCTGAGCAGAAAGAATGCTTTTCTTTTTTTTTTGCAGAAATGGGCGTCTCTTAGGGGTGTGCGCCAGTGTGGACAACTGCCGACTGTTTGTGGGGGGAATCCCGAAGACCAAGAAGAGAGAAGAAATCCTAGCAGAGATGAAAAAGGTCACCGAAGGAGTTGTCGACGTCATCGTCTACCCAAGCGCTGCAGATAAAACCAGAAACCGGGGCTTCGCCTTCGTGGAGTACGAGAGTCATCGGACGGCTGCCATGGCCCGAAGGAAGTTGCTGCCAGGTTGGTACCCCTCCTCAAAGAGGAGACCACCCCCCCCCGGCCCCCCCGCTGCTTGCCTGCCCCAGGACGCTGTACACCTTAGCGAAGGAGGAAGAAGCTGGGTGTTGTGTGTTTGCTCTGGAGCTTTGCTTACTTGGTACTTTAAACCCCTTCCCCTCCTTATCTATGTCACAGTAGATGCAGCTCCCTGAAGTTTTCACCGACTAGTTCTGAAACGTATGCACGGAGGCTAACGAACGTGCGCTAACCCCGTGATGAAGTGTTACAGTGAAGAACCTTCTCAAAAGTGAATATGTCTGCTGTTTTCGTATACAGAGGTTGTTAGCAGGCTTACTAGGAATGGAGTAGATTGTCCATTACGATGTCGAATAAACCTGGGAGTGACACATTATCCCAATGACAGCTAAGTGACATGAACTTGTATTAGGACTCCCCAGGGTCTAATATTTTCTAATTTGGGGAGAATAGAAATAATAGCGCTCCACAGAAAGGCACCTGTTAGGTATTACCACCACGGGGTGGGTCCCCTTTGGGCAACGACCATCAATTCCTGAATTTAAAGGACTCTACACCAAGACCCTGATCAGCTTTAGGGAAATTGTTGAAAATCCTCTGCTCATTCTCAAATATTCACTAAAACTTACACAAAGTAAGTTATTAAGATGAATCAATATTAAAATGGTAAGAGGATTTCAAGAATGAGAGTGGAGACATTGGAATCCACTCTTCTCTTGACCACCATGGAGAGCCACCAGAATTAAAGACAAACCACCACCACCTAAATTTATATTGTCCCTTAAAAACAAACCATGAATGAGTAAGTCAGGGGATGAAAGGTACAGCATAGGGATATAGTCAATGATATTGTAATAGCATCATATAATGACAGATGGTAGTGACACTTGTAAGCAAGAGAGAATCTTAAGCAGACTCTATGCTGAGCACAGAGCCCAACATGGGGCTCAAGCTCGCGACCCTGAGATCATGACCTGAGCCGAAATCAAGAGTCGGTTGGAAGCTCAACCAACTGAGCCACCCAGGTGCCTCAGGGAGGATTTTTTATTAATATTTTCATGAAGGCAGGGGCGCCTGGGTGGCTCAGATGGTTAAGCGTCTGCCTTCAGCTCAGGTCATGAACTCTAGGTCCTGGGATGGAGCCCCATGTCAGGCTCCCGGCTCAGCGGGAGAGTCTGCTTCTCCCTCTCCCTCTGCCTCTCCCCCTGCTCATGCTCTATCTCTCTGTCTCAAATGAATTAAAATATATATATTTTTTCATGAAGGCAGCTGAAGTGAAAAGATAGGAGATAGCCCCCAAAGTTGCCAAACCCATTAGAGAGATGGGTATGTTTCATACTTCCTTTCACTACTGTCACCACCCGATGGTCAGACCCTGGGCCACACAGGCGCAGAGAATCCCCTGACACTCCTCCTGAGGTGTCCTTAGCCCCTCGGTGACCTGAACTTAATCTTTGGTATCCTCTTCAACTCCCCTCTTCAACAGTTCTTCCATGAAAAGTCCCTTGTATCCATCCTGATCTCAGACCATCGTTGGAGTCTAAAAACATATATTCCCAAACAGAGACTGTTTTCAAAAACTCCAGATTATTCTCCCAGCTCTGCTCTCTTTTGGATGTACCCCACTCTCTGCCTCTTCCATCCTGAACATCCCCACCAGATTAGCATTCCCCATATATCAGGTCATCCTTTTGACAATTCTGGCAAATAGTAGGAATTTGATCTCTACGTGTCGGTGGGCTGAATGGTGCTGCTCACTCATCGGTTCAACAATAATCACCCACTACTTGCTGCCGAGGAGACCGAGAAAAAACTGAGCCTATTGTTCAAGGCTCCAGTCCTTTCCAGACATACTTCTTACCTTCCATTTCCCAACAAAACCCTTCTTTCTAGCAGGATCAACTCCCCTGTGTTTTAGGCAATGCCATGCTGATCACTGTCTCCTTTATCCCGAAAGCTGTATCTCCCACTAGAATGACCTGCACCCTCCCCTCCTCTGCTGACCCATGGCATTCAAAGCCCCAGCTGAGCTGAGTTTCTTCAGCTGCGTTGAGTCTGAGGGCGTCCTCAGCAGACGGACCATGAATGAGCAGACCAGAGCCGACTGTTCATTGCTGTTGTACCTCGTGAGCAAGTCGGCTACCCACTTGGACACCCTACCTATTACCTCACTGTCGATTCAACAACAACAGAGGATTTGGGTCACTGGCAATCATCTGGAGAGTCTAGTTTGAAAGAAGGTGATCTTTAGCAAACATGATAAGAGCCACAAGCAGCTCCTCCTTCTTAACTGATCCAGACTCGGAGACAGAGAGAAACTGTTGTCTAATGTGACGTGTTGCTCCCCCAGCCACCTACCTCCCCTGCAGACAGGGGCAGCTCTCTCCCAACACTGTATCCTTGCAGAGGTGTGTGTGTGCAACACAGTCTTGGCGTCCAACTCCGAGGCTAGCGAGCATCGTGAGGACGCTCTGAGGAAAGTTCTTGCAGTGGTTCCACCGTCAACCAGCGCGGAGATCACCTGGAGGGCTCGTGAAAGTGCAGAGGGCGGGGCCCACCCCCAGAGTTCCTGACTCAGTTGATCTGGTGCGGCGCCTGCTCATTTGCTTCCCAGGATGCTACGCTACCAAGACCCAAGTTTGAGAACCCTTGATCTAAGTCAGTGGCTGTCCATCGTGGGCTGCAGATCTGAATAACCTGAGAAGGTTTTTAAACAATACCAGAAACCAAATCAACCTCAGATCAGCTGAATCCACTTCCCTGAGGTGCAGAGTAGGGCCCTGGTGTTTTAAGTTTTCCAGATGATTTTGTTGTGTGGCCAATGTTGTGATCCACAGCTAACTCCATCGGCTCAGGATACTGGCTGTCACCTGCTGGGGAGGTCAGTAAGAACATATGGAGGAGTAAATGGGGAGGTCACTGCTAACCATACCTCCTCCAATTCTGCCCACTGCAGCCTTCTGCAGACCTTCAGGCCGGCTGATGGCTTCCTGTGGTCCCAGGCCAGGATGGCAAAGGCTAATGGGCTAGAATAGGGTTCTCAATTTTGGCTGAATTAACTGAGGTGCTTTCAAGAATCCTGAGGCCTGGACCACTCCTATCAAATTCGGGAAGGAGAGTCCTGGGGTCAGGAATGAGCTGGTCAATCTTTCATAGACAACTCCCGGGGAAAATCCAAGCCCTGACTTGTAACATTGCAGATCCCCGTGGAATGAATGGTACCACTGTGGCTGATTCCAAGCTACCAAGATGGCCTCAACTGATTTATAAAACTGAACATGTAACTGTCTAGTATAGCAAGTGGAAAGGAATTGGGTCCAGCACACCAATGAGTGGGACTCAGGTTGGGTATTTCTTAAAGCTCTTCCAAAACAACTAATAAAAAACACACAAGATTTCCAATCAAATTTAGAAACTGAGTTGACCACCCCACCCTACTTCCCCCCCCACAGAGTGACTGTGAGCAGGAACTGAGGTAGCGAATGGAAAACACAGTATATAGGGCAAGATGCTCAATAAATTGCAACTTTAGAAATACAAGAATAGATGTAGTCATGGGTAACGACTACCCCTTCAAAAAGAATTCAGTTTCTCATCACAGACCCTTCCATTGCTCTGTCTTCTTGAATGCAATAAAATATTTTTGTGCAGATTCCCAAGTTGTCCATGTGCTGTCAGGAAACTGGGAGGGAACACAGCAGATGAGAGCCCCGACCAAGTGTAGGGTACAGAGAACAAACTAGGGGTCCCTGAGCCCTGCTCACTCCTGCCCACACATCAGTTTTTAGCTCGGTGGTGGCAACTGGTCATGCAGCTCCCAACAAGAGCAAACATACTTCCTAATGACCTTTTTAATGCTTCATGAAGTCAGACTCTAGGTCAGAGCCCTAAATCCATGTTTTCTCCTTTCTCCCGTTCTGCCACCTCCCTTTCAACAACTACCTTCCCACACCCTGCGAGAGCTGGCCCAAGACCCAAACCTGCCCATTGCTGCCTCATTTCTGTTCCATTTCAAACCACATCCTAGTTCCCTTTATGCTCAATTATTACAATAAGCCGTCTGTCACACAGAACTCCCTTCTGGCTAGTTCTGCCATTTAATTGGAAGTTTTCTTAAAATCAATCATCACCTCTTGTAATACCGGTTTTCAGGCTCCATCAAGATATGCTCAAAAGCACTGGTTGCATTTAAAAGGCCATCTCAGCGAACCAAGATGATATTGTCCTGATTTCTGTGTAACTAATCATACTTGTGATCCTTCTGAACAGGAAGGATTCAGTTATGGGGACATCCTATCGCAGTAGACTGGGCAGAGCCCGAAGTGGAGGTGGACGAGGACACGATGTCTTCGGTGAAAATCCTGTACGTGAGAAACCTGATGCTGTCTACCTCGGAAGAGATGATTGAGAAAGAATTCAACAATATTAAACCAGGTAAGACACACTAGAGAAGATTAAGTTTTCGAGGAGTACTTTAAAAACACTTGTGCTTGAGATGACTTCCCGTGACTTTAAACAGAATAGCTTTCATTTAGCATTCCTATAATTGCATGTGGACTACAAAAACCATATTCCAGCCCTGGGATTAGAGAAAAAGGGACACATGGTCCTAAAACGTTTACCGACATTGTAACTCTACAATTATCTGTGTGATTACTTAATTAATGCACATTTCCATCACTAGACTATAAATCCCATAAAGGTCTTTTGGCTTCTATCGTCTCCTCAGCCCCTGTCTCCGGGCCTGGGTCATAGTAGATGCTCAATAAATATTAACTGTGTTGATGAATGCATGGCCAGAACTATATCTAAGGCAGGGTTTCTCAGCCTCAGTGCTCTTAACATTTTAGGCCAGATAATTCTTGGTCGTGGGGGGTCTGTCCTGGGCATTATAAGAATCTTAACAGCATCCCATGCCTCTACCCTCTAGATGCCAGTAACAACTCCCAAGACATAGTAACCAAAAATGTCTCCAGACATTTCCCTGGAGGGCAAATTTGCCCCCAGTTGAGAACCACTGGTCGAATGGAATATGATTACGACTTCAGGTACATAAATAGGGAGGTGAGAATTAATTCTAGGAAACTCATTTGGGTGAAAAGGAAGGGAAAAGAACAGAGGGAGTGGAGGGGGATAATTATTGCTGCTCATCTTGTCACTACTTTGCAGTATCAGTTTTATACCATGAGATTCATCCCTCGTCCCTTTTTTCTCCTATAGGAACTACAATAGTGAGACAGGTAAAGCATTTCAAGAAACAATGTCCAAGTGAGCATTTCCCAAAGCCAGTTCTGCAGAACATTAATTCTGTGGACTGTTAATAGATGCTACTGATAAAGGGGGTCCATGGTCAAATAAATCCGTAAACACCAGATTCAGGGCAATTAAACAGATTCTGTTTTATTGCAGCACTTATCAGAGTCCTTGAACTTCTAATATGCTTTGAAAGTCTCCAAAAGGAAATGTAGGATGGCTCCTTTCCCAAATTTTTGGACCATGGGTCTCATTTTTTGACCAGCCATCTTGTGGAATTAGCATGTTCTGGAACACACTCTGGCCTTAGTTTATCACTGTGGTAGCATCTTTCCACTTTCACAGCATGAGTCACCTACTGAGCACCACGATCCTAGGATGCAGGGTCACTTCTGCTATTATAAAGTGAGAAAACCAAAACTCAGTAGTTACGTTGCTTGCTCAGGGTCATACAAATAGCAAGTGGCAAATCCCACATTTGAATCCAGGTCTGGCTAAGACCACGTTCTTAGCCACTCTGTGACCTCCATGCCCCATCCTCATTCCACTCACTCACTCCTTCATTCAACTATCATTACTCTAGTAGCTCCCATGTGCCAGGCACTGTGGGAGGAGCAAACAGGTGTGCTGTGTGTGTGGAAGGAGTTTAAGATGTTCCAGAAGAGCCTCCCCCACACCCAGGATGGCTCAGCCAGTTAAGTGTCCGACTCTTGATTTTGGCTCAGGTCATGATCTCAGGGTCGGGAGATCGAGCCCCACATCAGGCTCCATGTTCAGCAGGGAGTCTGCTTGGGATTCTCTCCCACCCTCTTCCTTTGTCCCTCCCCCCCAAAAAAAGATGCTCCAGAAGAATAACAGCCCTGACAGCCTATCCTTGGGGCACAGAAAAGACTCATGTTTAGGAGAAGTGACGTGTGAGCTGAGATATGAAAGTTGATGCTTTTGTGGGCAGAGGAATGATATGTGCATGTTTAGATGTTACTCTGCTCCCTCCCACTCTGTGTTGACTTCCTACCTTCTTATTTTTATTTGATACTTCCTTTTGTTTCAGTCTTTTCAATAAACTGTATTGAGAGAATGGCATGTCCACATGCAAATAATAAAGTTGGTCTGAATTTATATAATAGGCAAAGTTAACTCAAAATGGATCAAAGACTAGCAAAAAAAGCTAATATTATTTAAAAAAAACACTAGAGGAATATATAGGGTAAAGCTTCATGACATTGGATTTGGCAGTACACTCTCCGATGCTATTAAAAGTACAGGCAACAAAGAAAAAATAGATTAACTGAACTACATCCAGATTAAAAACTGCATCAGAGGACACTTTCAACACTGAAAAAGCAACGCACAGAATGAGAGAAAACATCTGCAAACAATACGTCAACCAAAAATTAAGTAAAACTTCAAATGTGTATTTGTCCAATGAACAATACTGTGCAATTGTCATAGACACATGGTCAACACGCACATTAAAAGATGTTCAACGTCACTCGCTATTCACCCAGGAAATGCAACCCCAAACCGTTTTCCACCTGCCAAGATAGCAATAGTACACAGATGTTGGGAGAAGCTGGAGGAATGAGAACCATGTGCCCTGTCGATGGAAACACAAAATAATGCCATCACTGGGGGAACTACACGTGGGGTCCTAAAGAACAGATAATCACCATATAATCTGACAATTCCACTTCAGGGCATATGCACAAAATGAATAAAAGCAGGGGCTTGAACAGATAGTTGCATACCGTGCTCACAGCGGTATTTGTATCACCCAAGATGTGAAAACCACGCGGGAGGGGTTGGAGCAATAAAACATGGAATGTGGGCGCCTGGGTGGCTCAGTTGGTTAAGCGACTGCCTTCGGCTCAGGTCATGATC